GTATTTTGGAATCCTTGTATATTTTTAAAGAGAAGCCTAGTTTAAATGCTGCCTATAGTTCTTATCCATTAGAAATTGTGAATAGATAGGTACTTACTTTATTATTCTGCCCTTTGTCTGTAAATTTAGGTTTTTAACTTCTGTGTGTGTGTTTTTTTATTAACTCCAAACTAATTTTCTGCATTTATCTGTGTTCTAGATTTATCAAACTGACGATGGAGCTGGTCTCCGAAACGTTTTTAAAAAGAATACGATATTATTATATTATTAGTGAAGATACTGACAATAAAGTAGTTCATTTCTTTGCCGCTGCTAGCGCTGGCATCTGTAATATGTGAAGCTTCTATGGGTAATTTTACTTCTATGGGTACAACTTCTATGATCAATTTGAATCATAAACATTTACCTAATGCAAGAAATTAGCAATCAACAATTCAAGGTTATTTTGTAAGTTTTGTAACAAGGAAAGACTACTTTAAATACGTATTGGCAACTTATGCTAAAAAAATGCACTGAAAATGCAAACAGCTGTGACAGAAGGTGCCAGAAAGCGCCATCGATTCATTTGTCATTTTTGATTTCAAATCGCATTCAGTTCTTTGGAATAGGAGCGTAAATTATAGTCTAAAACCTATTAAAAGTTTATGTTTCTACATGGATTTTGATGCTGTTAACATTTAAATACTTGAAAGTATCTCTGATGCAAGAAATACTGGCTAAATACATTTTAATTTAGAAATTAACATCAATCGAAATTACTGTTGTTCTGGGCTATGTTGGTTCTTGCGAACTGATTTTTGCATCCAGTCGCTTATATTGAAAATAAAATTGTTTAAGCAAGTATTTCTTGCATTAGAGATAATTCAAAGTTTGTTAATGTTAACAGCATTATAATCGATGCAGAAACGTATATTTTTTATATAGATATTAAAAATTTAGGCTCTTTGACTCGTATACTATGGGACTAAGGGTATAGGATTTCAAATGGATGCATGTGTTCAAATTCAAATAAGGCCCGCCCACGGCCAGTGTCAGCTGACACAGCAAACTGCCCCTTTCTTCAGAAGCAAGAAAGCTTTTGCCGGAGAAGGTTGTGTTGTTACAGTGTTACATGATCCGATCGGTCCATAAAGAAGTGTCGGTCGGTTCAAAATGACATAAGACCAGGACACCAGGTTCTTTTGAATAACCTATAGAATTGCACCATGTCCAATAGTACCTATATAATGTAATTTATATTCACCTATAGGCTATGAATGTAATTATTATTTTCCTTATGTTTTGGTATATTTATAAAAATATAAAAGAAAGTATACCATGTTTTTGATAGAAATGTATCAGAGACTACCTCTATTAGCACTTGAAACATTCAAAAATCTTCCCTAGTATGTAACATCATAACTGTCATCATTAACATGACGTGTAAATTTGAATGGTAATGGTACCTAGGTTCGTTTATAATTTAAATTTACCATTTAAAGACAATATAACATGAAAATTTGAATGCATAAATAATTTTTTATCAAAACTTAACTTAAACCTCCTTCATGAAAGCCACTAACTTTGCCAGAGCCAGTTGCCACAGCATGTCTCGTGTTGCGGTGTTGGAGGCCATCAATCAAAAGAAATTATCTACTTAGATAATTTCTACTTTGATAAATCTCTACTATGATAAATCTAGCAGAACTGAGCTCCAACTTTTTAGCACAATTGAGAAAGAATCTTGGTTATCATGTGGCAATCTAACTCTAGAAATTGGAATTTAGGCCAGTACTATTTGGTTTTTATTGACAAGGCCACAAGGGGCAAGTTAAGTGCAGGAGTGGCTAAGTGGCAACTTATGTGGCCACTTTAGTACTTTGATAGTATTTCAGATTGGAGGATTTCAGAATCCTGATATATTTTCAGACTTAAATCTTGTTTTAAAAATAACATTAAATTTATAATAAACTGGAATTATGAAAGTATATTGCCCTTTACTGCTTGAAGATATAATTTAGGTAAATTATTTTTTAATTTCTAGACTGGAGATAAATATGGTGTCCAAAATGTTTCTTTTAAAAATAAAATGAATTATACCATTATTAATTCTAAACTTAAGAAATATATATAATACATACTGTTATTGCAGCTTGGTACAATCAGCATCACTACATTTTTCTGGAAAATAAAATAAATTTCATGCCACTTTCTTTTCTAATTTTGAATCATTTGGTCTCAATATATATTCTTTGTTTCAGGATCTGATGGATTGGCACACACCTCTCATCACTCCTTCTGCAACACATCAACCGCAAGGAGTGGATAATGAAACAAGTCTCAACAATTAAGAATTTATATATGCATCAATTTTCTAGGCTGTCAATTTTTCAAGGGCTGTCATTTCTATCTAACAACAAAAATTTTATCATTGTTTATCATATTGGTAGATAAATGAGCATTTTGTTAGCTGGCATTCTTTGTTATTTTCTTGGCATCTAATGTCTTTCATAAAATTTTTGGATCATTCACAGGAAATAACATACAGACATTGGGAAAGCTTCAGTTTAACCCTTGTATTCTGTTGCAAGTCAAATAATCAGGTAGTTGTCTGATGTCCAAGAAGGTGTGTACAAGGAAGATGATGCTCAGACTGAATGTCTATGCTAGATGTGGTGTCATCTTTTCCTCTTTCTCATCATCGTAGTCTTAAGCTGTAGCACTGATGCCAAGTGTTTCTGTGATCTCCATAGCATATCTAAAGAATACTTCAATTTTTTGTTGTTTGCAATAATATTGATCAATTAACAAATCTTCCTGGACAATTGAATTAATTCCACCTATTGTTGAACTACCAGGTCAGCTATAAGAATATTAAATTGTCATATTTACCTCGAATGTTTCCTATAAATGCTAACTTCCTAATCTTGAAATAGTATTGATTTTGTTTCAAAATAAGAATTAAGGCTGTATCGATTATGGTTTACTTGAAAAGATTCCTTGTAGTGATGAAAATTTAGCAAATTTTCTGCAGTCTCATAGATATGCTGCTCTTAATTTAGATGCTTTAATAAGTTTGTAATTAATTACTGCAGGATATTGCTGAAGATCACTTATAGCTAAATCTTTAGATGCTTGTAGCTTGCTGCTTCTTGTATTTTACCTTGCCTGTAACTGCTGCCTTTACCATTGTCCATCCTTTGCAATCCTGCCAAATTGTTTACAATTAATTAGCTAGAAGTGCTCTGAATTTGTCATTCTATCAATTAGAAATTGGTCTAGTCCATTAAATGATTAAACGTTTCAAATTAATTATAATAAGCAGATCTATTGTAATCATTTAAAATTAAAGCTGCTTGTACTTACATCTTAGAACATTGCTTCCTGAATAGATTTTCTCCTTAAACCATAATTCCAATCTTACGACTACGTATGATTCTATGTGTAACTTTACATCTTAAGAGGCTTGAATCTAGTCATTTTGTAATATCAATAAGTTACGTAATAGTTCATTTTTGAGCAATATATTCAGATGCTGATGCCTATTCATCTCGTGTAAACTACTTATGCAATGGAGAAGCAATCTATGTATCGGTCTGACAACCCTGGTAAAATTTCCCACAAGGGTGAGTACAAAGTACAGTTCACGGATGCATCTGAGTACTACAAAGGCCGAAATAGTACAATATTAGGCAAACCTCCTGAGATTCCTCGCTCCTCTAGCTCTAGTCTTAAGTACAATGGGCGCCCATATAGCAGTACAAGTAGTTCAATAGGTAATCTTAACTCTTGCTACACTAGCTCCTTAAATACTAAGCATTCTAAGGGCAGCAGTGCCTCTAACACATGTAAGGCTGATACGTTTGGAAGCACAACATCTCTGGACCGACGTCGTTGTGGGTCATCGCGGCGTCGTCAGCTAGAGTGTACACTACAGCCCATCACTGACGTGACAAGGAGTGAGTCATTAGTTGAGTACAAGCGGCAAGACAGTTCACCTGGTGATCCCTCGCACCATGTAGGTGGCAGCAGGAGGAAGCGGGAGCTTTTGGACTCCTCTGAGAAAAAGTCCAAGATTCGAAGTCTGTATACTGGAAGCTCCTCCCGCAGCATTTCAGGGGACAGGTCGTGTATGGGCAGCCGATACAAGACTCGTGGAAGTGATGACATCAAAACGCTCCAGCAGAACAATGAGAGACCAGATGACTGGATAATGAAAGTCAAGCGCGCAGCCTCTCGCAGCCCAATTAGAAAAAATGAAAAGTCTCACAACAATCGTGCTACAATACACGAAAAAGAGAACAATAAGGGCCAAGAAAGAGCTAGTCGCTATACCTCTGAAAGACGCTTCAGAGAACGTGGACGTAGCCTCAAAAGACTTGGTTCATCAGGCCCCATCCCATCTGACCAGTGCAACAATAATCTGTGAGTTTACTCTTCCTTGATACCCGTCTATTGAATAATATCATTGTGGAATGCCTGTACATTTATGTTTTATTCATTTAATTTTTCATTTGGATCTAAAATTTTAGCTAGTTTCCTGCAAGTTTCTCACATATTTTTGCAGAAAGTTCTTCTAATAAATCTGAATGAAGGGAAAATTAGTCTTGTATTTAAATAAGATTAAATAATAACATGAAAGAAATTTCATCTATTTCTCTGATGTGATTCAAGTTTTCATTTAAAATATTTTTGCATGTTACTATAAATTTTGAGACTTGAAGGGTTACTATCTTGGGTTTTTAATGGATATTTCTCAATGAACTGAATATAAAAGCTGAGAGAAGCCTCAATTGCTTAAAAGGCCTAGATATCACTCAAGACTGGAAATTTGATTCGATAAATTTCCCAGAAGTAAGTGAATAGACTTGTTAGTAGACACAATACATTAAAGCAATAAGACTAGATTACATAATTTACATTCGATGCTAAGATTCCTGTTGCAGTTTTGGATACTTTCTAGAGTACTTCGATTATTTTTGATGCCATCATAAAATATATGCCATGACATCATGATTTAGTCGAACGTAAACTTTCTTCCTTTTGTATCGTACATTAATTTATTTTTCAAATATTCCAGGGATGAGGTATGGAGCTTTGAGCCTGGCGTGATGTGGTCGCGCACGCTGTCGAACCGACGCATTGGCTATCTTCTCTTCAACTGCAGTAACCTGGATACGCCTCCAGCTGACTCGTATCCGGCAAAATTCAACATGACCTACAAATTTTCTCCAGTCAGTTATGCCTTCCTTTCATCGATTGTTAAATAGGGCTCTGTATCTAATAATTTAATAGTTGCTCAGTTGCTGTAATACTCGTTTGTAAAATTCATAAAAACAATCGTCCAAACTTGGTTGTTCACAAATCAGTTGTGCTCAAAAGTAGAGAATAGGGCAAATTCCATGAAATCAATATGTTAAATTTAACCCAATACTAAATTAAATTACATTTATTTTATTATGAATTGATTCTTTACACCTAGTTTGTAAATCAGGTGCGTATTATCAGCTAGTTGCTCTGAAGTGAAGCCTTCACAAAAAGCTTTTTCATTATTGCTATTTTGATTTCTATAAACTACGATGGTCTGCTATGTTATTTCCAGTCTGCTCGGGTTATATTGGCCTAAATTTATGTTATTGATCTTCATTTGGGCTCTAATGTTACAGCAAGCTGAGTCGAAGTTGATACGGTTGGTGTTGGAGGCTCACGGCTTCACTGAAGTGAACAGCAGCAGCAGTCGCTTCAACCTCTACTGGAGCAGTGCTCACTTCAACCCCAATGAGATCAGGAACTTGCAGGACTGGCAGAAAGTCAACCACTTCCCACGGTCAGTAGGCTGTTGAATCCTTGAGCTGTGAAAACGTGCTTCAATTAGTGCTAAGAGAATTATTATATTTTTCGTTACTTGTTACCTTTTAGTCAATCATTCATGATATTTCTGTAAAACTTGTTTCATTTTTAAATACGAATTTATTTCCGGCCATGTTCCTAACTGCTTAACAATTGAACATTTATGGCATTCCGAATTCCTTCTATAAAACGTTTTGTTGAACATGCAACATGAAGCTTCTTATCAGTTGCATACTTTTTACTTTGGTGATGTTAGCTGTATTGAAGATTCAATAAGCTGTTTCCAAGTTGAGGGTGAATAATTGTCCATTAATATTTGTAGTTATATGTAGTGCAATAAAGAATAGAATTCTTCATGAAGTTTCCATCCACTTATCCAACTTCTCCATTCTTACGCAGGTCTTCGGAACTAACGCGCAAAGACCGCCTCTACCTGAACATCAAGCGCATGCAGCGTCAGTTCGGCATCAAGCTCTTCGACTTCATCCCTACGAGCTTCGTTCTGCCCACGGAGCACCGCGAGTTCTGCGAGACGCACCTCCGTGAACGCGGCACTTGGATTGTCAAGCCTGTCGCGTCTTCTCAGGGCAAAGGCATTTACCTGGTTTCTCAGGTACAGCTGCTCATATTTAATAACATTATCTTAACCTTAGCCAAAGACTAATGACTTTTTTTATGAGGATTTTTGTAATGCGTATTTCTTACAGGCTGCAAGCAATCTTGTGGCTTAGTGTTTGTTAGAGATTTTAACTTGGCAATCTTGTGGCTTTGTGTTTGTTAGAGATTTTAACTTTATTGATGTCGAAATTTTTGGTTTACATTTCAACAATGATCTAAGGTTCTATAAAATAATATTCCTAGTTACCCGAGTATTGAAGAAAACCTACTTGAATTTCTGATTCCCTGAATGCCACTGAATATTGTACGATTTTCTCTACAGGTCGACCAAGTGTCGCCCGACGAATCGTCTCTAGTGAGTCGCTACATTGAGTCACCGCTGCTGGTGAATGGCTTCAAGTGCGACCTGCGCCTCTATGTTGCTGTGACCTCGCTGGATCCACTGCTCGTGTACATGTTTGAGGAGGGCCTTGTGAGGCTTGCCACTGTTAAATATCAGCACAAGAAGAACCTCTGGAACCCTTGCATCCATCTCACAAATTACTCCGTCAACAAATTCCATTCTAACTATGTGCAGTGAGTTCAATTCCTGTCTTCTTGTGTACTGTAAATTTATTAAAGACCCCACATCACAAGAGCCCGAGTTAGTTCATTTATAATTGAAAACATTCAGCAGTAAATGGATATTCGTATCAGAAAGTTTTTCATTATTTATAGAATTTTGCTATAAGACTTGTTGCTATTCCATATGCTGCTCCACATTAAATGTTGTCCATGTGCTGTGTAAATTTTTAGTGTTGATTTTTAATCGTCACATTCCTTTTGTATTAAAAGTTTCAATTCCCCCCAACCTCATTTTATGTTTGTGTGCTCGCTGTGCAGTAACCAAGATGCTGAAGTGGACGACGAGGGCAGCAAGTGGTCACTGAGCGCGTTCTTACGGCACCTGCGCGGGCGCGGCATCGACACCGCGGCGCTCATGCGCAGCGTCGAGGACGTCGTCATCAAGTCCCTCCTCGCCGCCGCCTACCAGATGAACACCGCCGCTGTCATGTTCATGCCGCACCCACGAAATTGTTTCGGTAGCTTGCATTCTACTTACGGTCTTTTCTCTACAATTGCTTCTCCGCTTTACTATTTTTGTTTTCTCAATTCTTGGTACATTTTCGTTATTGAATTGGTGAATTTTCATGATTTTAATCATGGTACAATTTCATGATTATTTTTAGATGGAAATTTTTCGAGCTTCATTTTGGTTCAAGAAGGTTTGGTTGGTTTTTCACATTTCTGAAAAAGTTATTGTTTGTTCACACAGTTCAGTTTTTCTGCAAGTTACTCTGCTTTGATCACCGAAAACTTTATATTCAAGTGTTTTTCTGTCCTGCTTGAATTTTATCATATATCTTTTTCCAGAACTCTATGGGTTTGACATCCTCATCGACGAGCAGCTAAAGCCGTGGGTGCTGGAGGTCAATCTCTCCCCATCTCTGAACATTGACCAGCCTCTTGACCTCAAAATTAAGTCCTCAATGCTGGCGGATCTTTTCTCCTTGGCGGGCATTCTGATCTGCAACCCAAGCACCTCCCGTCTCTCCACCAGGCCATCAATGAACCGCAAGCTCCCCAGCCTTAGGTGCTCGATCACTTTAAGTATATATATGATGCAATTGCTCGTCCTTCTCTGACTTCATTTTGCTCGTCCTACGGAGCTTGACCTACTCCAATAAAATATAATTCATCTGTGTTGTCCGAATCAAACGGTTTTGTTTTGTGTCTATGTGTATGCATTTTAGTTAACTTCTCATGTTGATTATATTTTAATGATTAAACTTTTTGAGAAGTGCGGTAGACATTATTGTTGAATTGCTTCCAGAATTGTCGGGAATTTTTTTACATTTGAATTTGGTGACCCACGTGATGAGGCATGACTTTTTCATTAATCATCTGCATTTGTTAGGCATTCAACTGAGACCTACGAGCGTCAGGCTGGCCGCTCAGGTGCACCTGCTTCGTCCCTGGAGGAGCTGCGGTTGCTGCGTCAGGTATCCTTGATACGCTCAAGTAACGCGGTATCAGAGTTTGTTACTTGATGCGCAGGGTGTGATCATTCTTCGTAGTATGTATGAGACTATTGAACTTTGAGAGAATAATTATAGCAGTTAAATTCTCTCTAAAGGACAAAATAATTTCTTGTCTTTCATGCTGGTAGATCGTGTCTTCAAACAAGTATTGAGTCATGTTCTGAGCTTCGTAATTGAATTGATTTCCCTGCTGTTATTTTACAATGGTAATATTGTTCCTAAAATATTAATATTATCATACCTATTTGATTGATATGCAAATTATCCCCAGGTGATGGAGGAGCAGCAGCGCAGGGGAGGCTGGGCACGTATCTTCCCCACACCGGACAGTTGGAGCAGCTACGGGGGACTGCAAGAATACGACAGTCCCCTCAACCTGATGCTGCACACGCACCTCTACCCTCATGTACAGCGCAACACCAGGTGCGTTGCTTACTACAGTCCCCTCAACCTGATGCTGCACACGCACCTCTACCCTCAATCTACCCTCACGTGCAGCGCAACACCAGGTGCGTTGCTTACTACAGTCCCCTCAACCTGATGCTGCACACGCACCTCTACCCTCACGTGCAGCGCTACACCAGGTGCGTTGCTTAACATTGCTAGTCACGCTTCTTTATAGCATTTTCTCGTAAAGTAGCATTTATTGTGTCAAATATCCAAAAATATAATGTTTTCGTGTAAGAAAGTAGTTGAAATTAATAAGAATGGCCTGAATCAAACGTACTATTAACTGTAAATATGTATGGAACTGGTAACTTGCTAGTGGATCCCGTCTTTCGTTGAACTTCACTCATGATAAAAGGAGTCAAGCACAGGCAATATGAGAGGTGTGGGTAAATTTCACCATTGAAAAAGATCTTGAGGTACTGCTACTCTCGTCGGAACTAGTAATAGTAGGATCGTGCTCCTGCTCATCCGACATATCATTTGATAGCTAAATAAAACTTTAGCACTGTTCGGCTAATGCAGAATCCTACATTCTTGTTAGGTCTCCCTTCACTTTTCACCTTGACCGATACAACAATGTGAATTATAACCTGTGTTATGTTCCAGGCTGCGCGTGGTGAGGTGCAGCAGCGTGAGTACGAGTTCGGGTCTGGCCAGCTCCCTGGAGCGCCTCACGTGCTATGAGCGACCTCTGCCCAAAGGCCTTGCCTTTATTAAGGATAAACTCGGCATCGGTATGAACTTGAAAATATTTCCAAGATTTCTTGTATTAATTATTGAATCCTTGTGTTATTGCTTCATTGCAAAAAGATTTGCATCTATCAGTATTCAGTAAATTATTTCAATCATTATTTATACCTAGCAAATGCTCAAGTCTCTTGCAGGTCATAGAATTGTTGTAGCTAATGTACACTGCCAGTCTGAATTGGTTTTCATTTTCAGAAGAAAAGTACGATTTCTTTATTTTTTTATTCTTTCAACATTTATTTGATCAGGAAAATCTCATGAGGAACAAGAGCAGCGCAGCCCTCAGGACGCTCACGCCGTGAAGCAGAACCTGCTGGAGGCACTCGACAACGGCCTCAAACTGAGGTGCTCATAATTATTAATTCTTATTCACTGCTCAAGGATTACTCTGAACGATACACTTCCTTCCCCCATTTGATTGTGCAGGTTTATATGTCTTCTCAGTTGAGTTGTAGTTTGAGAAACTAGTTTTGAGATACATGAAGAGGAGGTTCTCAAGCGCCTGGTCTCCCTGAATCCCAACAAGTCATCTGGATCAGACGGTTTCCACCCTAGGTTGCTCAACGAATTAGCAACCGTCCTGGCCGGCCCTTTAACAGTATTCTTTCGAAANAACACGACGATGGGTAGCACACGTCACAGCTCCTCCTGAAGCGGCCGCAATTTGTCGTTGAAAATGACATGCCGAGAAGTGCCCGCGTTCCGCGAGATCCATGGCTACGGTGCCGAAACTTGCTTATCGTAACTTTCCTGTTTAGATGTAACTATAGCGCAGTCTCTGCTGAATAAGTTGGTGCGTTAATCGATTTTTTCTTTCATTTATGGTGAGACTGAAATATTTAATTAAGTGAAAGCTGTCTCTTATACACATCTAGATGTGTATAAGAGACAGCATGTGGAACAGCCTTCCTGAAGATATTGTTGACGCTCCGAGTATGAACGCGTTCAAGAACAGACTAGACAAGGCCATGCATGAGCATATGTTTAGTCTTAAAATGCCTTGTACCCTACGGAAGAACTGATATCTTGAAGCGATTTTTAATCTACCGTCCGTTGAAAAGATCTGATCAAAAGGCCTGTCTAGTCAAGAAAAGTACAAGAATCGGCGACAGGCCTATCCAGGCCTATTCTTTAATGCCGAAGATACTATACTATACTACTACTATACTATACTATATTAAGGCTTGTTGCATCACAAACACAATCGTCCTGACGCCTTTTCTCATTGGTGGGCATCAATCAGAAGCTATAACCAAAGAATTTACTGGGAAACCTACAATTTGTATTCTTTGACTGCGTGTCTTGGTGGATTGTGATACCAGGGTTGGCGATTTTTTTGATTTTTTTTTAAAAATCAAAAAAATCAAAAATCAATGATTTTTTTGATTTTTTCATGATTTTATTTATTTATTTGATTTTTTTGATTTTTTCAACTTTTTTGTCTTTTTGAAGTGTTGTTTTTTATGTTGCAATTAGCCTACTAACAATAACAGTATATGGACTGTCTCTTATACACATCTAGATGTGTATAAGAGACAGGCTCTGTACCAAAAACATTCAATTTATTGGAACCTAATACACACTAAAGGCAACAAGTTTATATACCAATTTGTCATTTATAGTACATTTATACTAAACCATGAATAACAATACCTCAATATAAATTAAAGACTGCCACTCAATATATTTAAATATATGAAAAAAAAAAAAAAAAAAAAAAACATCGAAAAAATCAAAAAAATCATGATTTTTTTATAAAAAAATCAAGTGATTTAATAACATGATTTAATCATTTTGATTTAATCATTGCCAACCCTGTGTGATACCGATTTTCATTGTTAGACATTCATTTTTCACTCGCTATATTGTTAACAAAAGGATTCCCATGCACACATGACAGTCATCCTTACATATCAGAACAAGAGACATAGATTTTTTTTGCCAACTAATTTATTTCAAGTTTGATGTTCTCAGCAAGTACCAGGCCCGCATGGCGTTCAGCGTGTACCTGCAGCACGTGCAGCGGCGCCTCATGATCGGGTGCGACGAGGAGAACCAGACCGACCTCGTGTACCGCTTCCTGCGATCTGCGTCTCGCACGCTGCATCTCCCCATCTCCGTCCAGGCTTGTGGCCTTTTCTTCTCTTCAATGAAATTATCCTGCTAACTTCCGTATTTTTGTGACAACAATATATATAAACTTTACATTAAATTTGTATCAGTTTAATTGCTCCAAAAAGTAATCATATTGTGGACTTTTGTCAAGTAATTCAAGCCATGATGATCGTTTCATTTCAAGTTGTAACGTCCCCGAATGTATTCCAACAGTCTCCGAGCAAGAACTTACCTGAGGAAGCTCGTGCTGTGGTTATCTCGAAGCAGCTCGGGGATTTTATCATGGCTTATACCAAAGAAACACAAACTCACCACGACCCTCCGCCTCCCGCATCACGTCTGTCCGTTGACGCTGCAACGTCTAGGAGCTCAGTACCTGGTATCCCGTCCTCAACGGATGGAGAAGATGACTGCGAAACTTCCATGGCTGCAACTAGCGTGGCCTCGTCCATTGCAACGATTTCCTTGCCGTCCCACTCTAATGTCACGTATGCAAGCTGTGCCATGGTTTCTGAGTATTCTGACAAATCGGTGCGCTTTTCTACAACTGCTCATAAGACCATATCGCGCTTTCCTTCTACGTCTTCTTTCAGCGATGTGACTCCTTCTGACGTCAATGACCCCCTGAACCCTTTACTTCCACCCCGCCGCAGCTCTGAGGCTGATGAAATGGTGGGATCTGTGAGCAGTTCTGGGTTTAGTGATACAGATCAGCCTGGAGACAACCCATCATCTGGCAGCACTTTGTTGCCTTCGCTTCTCATCAGCTCGGATCCTTCGTGTTCAGGTGCTCGATCGTGCCCTCGTGTGCTTCCTTCCACTTCACCTTCTCTGTTGCCTACAACTCAAGGAAGTCTTGCACTCACTGAAACAGGTTCTGACAGCACTGCACTCATGTCCACTAACTTTCCTGTCACTACTAACATCACCGTCAAGTCTTGTAACTCTTACATACCAAGTTCAGCAGATAGTGTACACCGTGATCCTAGCCATAGTAGATGCAGCGTCGCTGAAGATAATCTTGTGTCCAATTTCTTGCAAAGTACTCCTTATTCCGTTAAAACTTCTTTGAAAAGTGAACATTGGAAAGCTCCCGAGTGCAATAATCGCTCTGACGCACAGAATGTACTTTCATCCGATTTAAATGTATCTGTCATGACTGCCTCCAACGACTCATTTTCTTCAATTACGACCTCTGGCGTTACTGGTTCTCTTCTGTCGGCATCTTCAATCTCAAACTCTTCAATGACAAACTCGTTCTCATCATCTTCTGTGCCATTTGCGGACTCTTCTAATATTTCATATGCTGAGCAGCCATCAAATTTCTCTGGTGGGACTGTATTTTCAGTAAACGATCTAGAATCTGTGGATCGTCCATCAAACGATAGTAACAATGATGACAGATCTTTGCCCTCTCATGCCCGAAAAAGGGAAGAGAATTTTGACGAGTCAGAGATCCCTTCTATCTGCGTAGAGACTAGAGGTATCACTTCAAACACCACACATGACAGTTATGCTCAGAATACCAAGATGACCAGCCAATACACTAGCCCTTCACAGCCTGTCATGACGCAACCAACTTCTGTCTCGGTGGAAGACAGCTGTAGATATCCTGACTCAGCCTCTACTGCCGACAACGCTTCAAACATTGCACATGAATCGATGGAGCTACCGCATTCTGCCTCTAATATTAATACAGCGACGTCGCCTAACTTGAGTAGTGCTGCGCCATCCAGGTCTGGTGTCTCTTCAATACCGGGATATTCTGGCAGCATATTCGGTGCCTCATCTGCACGGCTGCGCTACCTAAAGACTCAGTCTCTTGATGCTACTTTAGATGACAGACACGGTCAGTTTAGCGTTTCGCCCTCCAGGAGCCACGTTCTGCTTGTCATGCTGCTTGCTCGCTCGTACCTTGATTATTTTATTCGGATCAGTGCTTCTCTGTAGTTGAATTTAGCCATGAGAATGTGTTTGTAGTTCATATAAATAAGCGCTCAATGCATTGTTATGTTACATATTGCATGTCAGTCACGATTACAGTTAAACTGAGAGTCTGCATCTGACGCAAAACATTGAATAAAAATGACCAAATGTAAATGTTTTAGATATACAAATTTTTTTTGTAAAGAAATGACCTGAATGTAAAAATTACCAAATTTTAAGTTTGTATAAATTTAACGGCGTAGATAGTTACATTTTATTCCCCTGTCGAGCGACCGCAGAAGAAAGGATTTCCAACTTTCAAATCAATAATCCAATCATTTTTTTTGCTAGTACCAGATATTTTTCAAATTCGCGCATCTCACGCCTTTTTAAGGAAGTTCGGTAGTCGTGAGACTTTTCTTGAGTAGAAGTTTTAGCAATACTTTTTATGGACGTACAGGGTTACATGTCGGGCACGATATCCTGACTTGAAACGACTTATTCTGTTCCACGTCTTACTTGATACATCATCACCCATCTCTTGCTTGTCGTTCTTGACTAATACTTTCGTATTTATTGTAGTTATTTTTATATGCTCACTCCATTAATTTATTATTAGCTTTAGATTTTAGTGTTTCTTCAAATAAATCCTCTTGTGAGGCTGAGGAATTTGTCCTCATATGTACCCGATGTACAAGTTGCCTGTTTAGTTTCATCCAGTAGAATGACTGAAATTTGTTAATAAAATTGTTGTTAGTCTTTAGTGATAAACGTCTAGGGTTCATTTAAATGATTTCTCCCTCGTCTGTTGACTGAGGATTATATTAGCACTTAGGAAAATGGATGAGTCACATTGTCCAAATAGTGACTTATTGTCTTACCCAGAGCAAGAACAGAGAGCGCTCGTAGCACTGATACGTTCTTGTGCCGGGCCAGCCTGGGCCAGGATGACTAACATATGAGAAAAAAAAAGTGTATCGTTATTTGGACAAAGTCTCACTCATTTTTGTGAGTGAATGCACGATTGTAGAATTAATGTAGGATGGCATAATATTGCATTTATTACTTCATACAACTTCCACTGACGACCAAAGATTACATTTCATATGCTACTTTTGTTTAATTAGTTAATAACCTACCATAATTCAAGTTATTAATGTTTGAAATGAATTTTGCGTGTTACAACATTCATTGTCAAGTTATAATACTTGAATTATTCTTGATAGACATTAAAAGTATTTTAGTATAATTGTGTTAGACCTATTTGATAGTTTGCAACTACACCAAAGTTTCAGTGGTTCTATCAATTATAATGATGTCTCAAGGTTATATGCTATTCAGGAATTAGTGGATGTGTTTTGTTTGTCGTAGGAGTGCATTTCATTTTAAGTTTACTGTATGACCACATTTCTGTTTTCAACTCCATTCAAAGCAGCTTTTGAAGTTCATGATGCCATCTCAATGCACTAGATGGCGATAGCTGCGTAGCGATGAGTAGCAGTGGCTGCAGCTGGCGCACGGCTGAGGACGACGGGGAGGACGTGCAACACGTCGCTGCCTGCAGCCAAGCTCCGCCTGCAGGACACCAGCAGCAGGACGTCGTCGCCATGGAGCTCTACCGGGCGTTCATGTCCGCTGCCAAGTGAGCGCTCCATGGCTTGCTGCCTACTCCTGGTTACTCTTTATGCTTCGAAAAAATATGTAAATTCCGAGTTACTCTCAAGCTCCTATTATGTTCGGGACGTCTTGTCTCGAAATTGAACCATATTTTGACAAGTCATCTCGTATTAAAGATAAAAATTTTCTAAATTTATGCTCAGGGAATCGTTGCGTTTCGAATAGAAAAAACGAACAAGTGTTTAGGGACGTTTAAAATTAAAAATTTATGAATATTTAACCATGTGTTCACAAATTTAGAGCATAGTATTGCATTAGAATAGATTATTCATGTGAAAAAAAATGTCAGTAATTTCTGCTGCTTTTATCTATCATGCTCCTTACATGTAAATTGATTCTACAGATCAGATTTCACAGTCGCCTTGTCAATCCCACAGTGCTATTGATTTAGCGTAGAGTTTCAAGAAATTTACCTCTCCTTGATGTGCGCAGAGAAACGGACTTGGAAGAAGTGCTGGCGCTGCAGACGAAGCTGCACAACTCAGCAGGGATGTTCCTGGACTCTGCAAGGCGCAGCGTGAACAGCAGCAGCAACAGAGCAGGCGGTGGCAGCAGCAGCAGACCGCGTACGCCCAACGCCTCCCCTCACGGCTCTCCTAGACGAGGTCGCAAGTCTCCCTCCATGCACGGTCAGTTCTTGGCAAGTTATTAATAAAGGAACACGAAATAGCGCCTCGATGAAGAATTTACCACTCTGTTCTTCCTGACAAATCGTTGCTAATGAAAAGGGTGACCAAAAATTTTTTTTTTAGGGAGCGCTATAAAAAAATTGAATCACGAGATTTGTGCAAGACTCTTGAATTAAAGGCCTTGCTTATTTCCATGAATAAACTGCTTGTAAGTAAAGTTTTTTCTAATAGTGTTAAAAGTAGATTAATGAGCTAAACTCAGTTTAACTCAGTTTAGAGCCACCTTCGTAGCTATTACATGATGGCAATTAAAGCACTAGCAGCCTGTGTCATGGAGCACTAGCAGCCAGTGCCATAGCAGCCAGTGTCATGGAGCACTAGCAGCCAGTGTCATGGAGCACTAGCAGCCAGTGTTTAAACCCGTATCTTCACGGGTGTTGGCATGGCAAACTTCTACAGCTTTTGAAGAACATGAAAAATTTTCAAGTTGAAATAGAAAAAGTCAAAAAGATCATTCAGAGACAAGAATCGTTCTCAGCTGAGGCGCTGATAAGTCAATGGCACATACCATTGACTTTTAATCGAAATTTTCCTGGGTTGTGCTATTTTTAGCAAAGTAGTTGGGATAGGGTTAGGTCACAAGCTAATATAAAGCAATTGATATAACGCCTCGCATCTTCTTTCACAATGACTTTGAGACTCCATAAAAAGTTAATAAATATAACTGTTATCTCGCGCCTTTATAGCTAGTCTTTGTAATCGAGCTTGATTTATTGAGCCGTAAAAATGTTTGAATGGATGTGCAGGAAGTCAGAGTCGCATGAGCGAACAGTCAGCACCAGTGACGAGCGAGGCTCAGGTTACCTCCTCCCTCGCTGTTCTGCCGGAACGTTCCTCCCTCACTACTTCATCCCTCCAAACCCTGACCACGACCACTGCCGCTACTGCCAAGACTCCTCCTCAGTCCTCTTCGTGCTGCCTCTTCGGCAATATTCTCAAAGCTAGCCTCAAAGGAACTAACACATCCTTCAATGTTTGAGGACTGTAGCCAATAGAATCATTCCTCCAGCATGCAAAGCTGGTCAAGCAAGCTAAAAAAGACAGAAATTTGGTAGCCATTCTGGATAATTTTCGCATCATTTTCTCTTGCTGTTCGTGTTGACAAAGCATTATCTGCGCAGTAGTGTTTGTCCACGTTGTCGAAAACTAGAACTAGCAGCGAAAACTAGCAGCAACTAATTTGTTTATTACTAATTTCCTTTCTTCTCGTGACTCGCTCAACATCGAATTAAGTATTAGATTTATTGGGATTGGAGCGCAGCTCCAATTGCTTTGAATTTACTTTTCTCTCATAGTGAGAGGTAGAAGCACAACTGCTCTGCGAATTCAATTGTTTTTATTGATTTATTATTCGCTTTGTTTCAAGTTTCTTCTTCACTTTATTATTTTATGTTAACTATTTTCCGTTGACCGCTCTGTTATTCTTTTCCTAGAAAGTTTTATTAACTTTGTGTTTGTATGGAGAACCATGAGTAGCTATAGCAGCATTTTAGGCAATTCCTACTTAGCTTTATTACTGTGATATGTCTCACGTGACTGGGTACCAGTTTGTTGTTTACCCATCCGCCTAATCTCGTATTTCATAGTTCTGAGTACCGCCTTGTGACAAGTTATCATTCTCGAAGACTATGACGTCGTTTGCTAGGAGTATGACGTTGGTTGAATCGTAATCGTTATCCAGTTTCAAGTCTGCCCAGCCTCGAGCCACACATTAGCTGCTGAGCCTACCATAGCGCCCTGTCATGTCAGAAATTCCTGCGCCTTTGCTGCTGCTTATCTTTTAACTCGCGGGTGCTCTGCATGAACATATCGCACGCAAGTTAGGATGAGAGAACTTTGTGCTAGTTTACATTCCCACTTTGAAATTAAATATTCGAAACGTTAAAAAAACTTTGGTACTGCTTAGTTCTTTGAGAGGAATTGTTGCATTGTCGCCCAATTTTGCAACTTCCATACTCATAATTTTAGTCAGAATCAACTCAGTCTCGAAACGACGATGAAAATCTACTAAGCAACTTTAATATGCCATCATAGATGCATGCAATAAGTAAATGTAATTCACTGCAGCAGTATATTATCCTATAAACTTTTCTGCTCATCAAATTTATGTAGAAAACCTTAGTGGCGCAACCTTCCGTTACAGCTTGCCGTCATCTGCTACCAGACTCGTGGCTGAGTATAGGGCTTGTTTACAACACTAAGATTGGTTCTTAAGCGTCCATGCTCCAGTAAGAGTTGCGTCCTTGAATGGAAAATAGAGAGTGGAATAGAATTTCATTCTAGTGCATGCGAATAATTTGTTTTGCTTCATAAATTAATTGATGAACTGTATAATCTTTCACAATTGTGGGCGAAACTTGTATTCCTATTAGAAAAAATATAATATAAGTGTTTATTACTAAATTAAAATCAATGATTTAGCCTCGTAATCTTGGAGGTGACTCGACATGTTAATAGTTTCAATATTAACGAGCTATATAATTCTTCGAAATTTTTTTTAACTTAGGATTTTTGAACATATTTTATTTTGCACTTGATTTTGTAACACTTCGTTTTCTTGATTCAATCGCCACTAATTTACCGAAGGGAATCTTTTTATTAGTTAATCTACAGATCATTTATATTGTAATAAGCTAATTTCAAAGCAACGTTCTATTCACAAATCAAAGTGGATTTTCTTATTGCAATCTTCAGGTCGTGGGCTGTGCTGGGAAACTAGCGTCGTGCGCGGTCTTCGGAAACCTCGGGCGTTTACGAATAGTAGCATTGAATTGTATTTTTTTTTTGTTTTAATGCTTCTTCTAGTAATTAACGAGATTCATCATGGATTATCCGAACTCGTATGTTGAAAATTATATTACTTAAATTTAAGTTTCACTTGAATTACCCGGCGCCAGCAACTTGAGTTGCTTGCCTCGGTAATCATTAGTGTGTACTTCTCTTCTGGTCAGGACTTGAAATAATCATGAGTGTGAACTACTCTTCTGGTCAGTATTCGAATTAATTCAACAAACTTAGTGTTTTAATTTTACTGTGATCTACGAACCTTTTCTAATTTAAGTTTTGGTATCCCAAGCATACTTCTTACGTGGAATTACTTTACTGCAGATGATGGAAGCAATCAATGACCTCTTGCAAATCAGATTGGCACCGAAGTAACTTGGTTCTTTTTTGTTAAATTTCACGCTTTATTACCACGGTATTTTGTTTTGAGCATCTAATCGTTGCAACGATGTATTTGGATTTTCCTCCGTCTAGGCTCTAAGCCGGCAGCTTTGATATGTAAGGTCCGTGCTATGCTAGGAATAACTGTAATGTAACGGAAGGCGGCTCTTCGATTTTTGTGTAGGGGAAGTTTCCAAACAGGTTTTTTTTTGTCACGTTGCCCCAAGAGAGGATGCTAAATGCGGCACATACATACTAGAATATATATACTACAAGGCTATGCCAAAGAATCGTGACAGACCTTTCTTTCATCAGCAGTCGTACCAGTGAAATAGATTCCGTGAAGCTTTAGTAACTTCTCGGGCTGCTTCACTTTATTGTAACAACGATTCTATTTCATAGATCTCGAATTAGATTTTGTCGCCATTTTTCATATTAGTCTTAGGTGATAAACTATGTCTTATTACTCTTATATGCCGTATTCATAAAGCGTTTAGAATTCTAGAATTTCTTAGTGAGTGGGTTTCACAAAACCCGTTCCGCATGTATTTCTGCTCGGATCTCTTCACTTCAACTTATCCTATGTATGGAAATTTCACAAGTCTTTTCTCATGGAGCTTTTACAACAATAGCATCGCACTTTCAACATTCCTGATGAACTGTAGCTTCATCTAAATAGGTTTAAATTTTTCTGATCTTTCAGTTCTCCTCTATTTACATTTCTTGAATCATTATTTTAACCATTTCATTCTTAGGTCCATCGAACAATCTCTGTCCTGGCGTCAACTTTCTTTTTCAAAATAACACCTCCGAGTCTCGCTCTAATAGTGGCATGTTGTCATGGTTTACAGTGAGATGGATTTCATTCATTCCTCTCCTATATGTCGCTAGAGAACTTGCACATTTTCCAATCTTTGCATGTACTATTATTGTGCGGCGTTTACAAGTGATGACATTCAATCCATTAAAAGGTCCGTTCTTTACTACGCAACTCTGCGGTGATCTATTGTGCTATGCAAATTAGTATCGTATCTATTGTTCATGTTCAAGAAGTCATAAAAATGACGGCTATTGATAGTTTTGTTCGCTCTAAGCGTATGATTGAGCTGCGAGTGATATAGTTCACGTTGAAAAGAATTGCATGCATGCATTAATGGGATACATTCAATCCATTAGAGAAGCCCAGCAATGTACAAGTTAGATTTCCTTGTCGATATGCTTCCAATGGGATAAAATTCATTTTTAATTCAGGCCTGTGCGTGTTAACAGCAACTGGTATCTAGGATTACCGTCCCAGAATGAATGATTCCTTCATCTTGAAGACAAACACGTTCCGCGTCAACGATTTTCTTTCAACTTCCTCCGCCTTACCAATAGGAAAGGATAAAATAATCTCCACTTCCCTCAATACTAGGATAGTAATATCCACCTGTAGCCAATGTATGCCTTCTCTAGTACGAATAAATATGTAGAATAGAAATTACTTTGCTTCACATACCTGCTACATAGACTTAATATGCAATTCGCCCAATTTATTTGTGATTGAATACGCTACTACGTTGGCGGAAACTGGAAACCCAGTTCTTGTGAAATACCTTCATGCGCTTGTTTCATTCCTCAGTTACACAATGTATGTTCGAACTGATGTGTTCATGGAGGGAAGATAAACACTCGTTATGGTTCCTTTCTATTTGCTGAAGCGTGCAGCTCAAGAGCTTCTTTCAGAGTCTCGTGGATGCCAGATAAACGCGACTGTGCTGTGCTAATAAAACCTTGTACTTTCCCGCTGCTCACCTGTGGAAAAGAAATGACTTCTTGGTGCCTGAAACTATACAACCATTGCGCAGAATTTCACAAAGCTTTACGCTGAACAGATACGCAACTTATTGCAATAAATCATGTCAAACTCACGCTACTGTCTTAGCGCTTACGGTTTAAATAGGAAATGAAAATCTTTCATGTTGAAAATAAGCACGTTGGCATAGATTTTAATTCGTGAATGAGGTCTACTTATAGTATAGCCTCATCTTTGGCGCAATGGCTGATCTAATTTTTTGTTTGATTAGATAATTGTCTGCACATTTACAAAATTTATGCCAACTGCCATTTTAATCATAACTTTGTAAGAAAATATGATGAACGATAAGTTTGCTGGCGCTTTTGCGTACAGCAGAAGGAAGCAAGACGCCCACCTGTCGACCACCTGTTTTTCTGATGCTGCAGACGTCGCCACTCTCCATGAGCACAACAGAAACCTCGCCACCACACTCCGCCTCATCTGCGGCACTAGGATCCAGCAGCTGTACATAAATCACTTGTTAATATTGCGACATAGTTAATTTAATTATTAAAGCCAAAAATTCTTGCGCAAGTGCCTTAATCTTTTAATTAAGTTATTAGAATTAGTTGAAATCAATACATTTACTAGTCTCACCTGTATGTCTGAATTATAAACTGCAAATGTGGTCGACATGGGACGTTCCTGTAAGATAAAAATTTTTTTTACTGTCACATCCGAGACTCAAATGAAATGATAAAAACAGCTACTTTTAAAATCGTACTGGTAATGGAAGAAATTGTATGCATTACTAATCAATGCTTCAGTTCCTTAGGAAATTTCTTCACTTCAATTATTAAAATTATAGCAAGCTAACCTTACCTACGAAAATTCAAAAAATATAAGTCAGTACTCGCTGCAGTGAGTGACAGAGCGCATTTTCTCGTCGACGAAAACTTGAGGTCACGGACGGACAGACAGACGGACATGGCGAGCACAATGGTGCATTTTTTCTATAAATGAGAAAATGTGCTAAAAACCTAAAGCTATGTTTTCGACAATTTTTCTCCCATACGTTTACAAAATTTATGTAAACTCGAATTGAACTTCATTCATAGCTACCATCGCAAATTAAGATACTCAATCTTAAGATACTCAAAAGAAGAGAACTTTCTCCTGACATGATTAGAGAGGAGGAACTACTTTTTGTTCGATTAAAGAATTTCGTCCTACTTCTACTTTATTATTATTATTATTTACTTTATTTACTATTATTAGTAAATACTTTATTATTACTACTTTATTTACTATTATTAATTTTTTTGACACCTGTATTGAACTATCAATCGTATGGAAATCTCGATAGAGTTTTTAATTAAACATTTTTAAACACTGTCAGGTTGGTTGCACGGTCTTTTTCGTTATCCGAGTGGTCAAAGAGGCGCATAGAAAGTTCTCTACTACTACTGGCAGCTAGGCGACGAATTGACAAAGGAAAAGATACAAACATTTATCAGTTCAACACTTCTATAGTCTGTCTATTAGCTTAAGCATAAGAACCTTGATTGTGAGCTTCTGCGTGTGTTTCTGTGAGAGCGACAGCGCCTCGGTGTCAGGGTCGATGTTGACGGTGGGCAGTGAGAGGTGCAGCAGAGCAGCCACCAAGCTCAACAAACTCGAGTCTATGAGGTTCCCGTCATAGTCCAGACATAATATATCGCAGTACAAGCACCACGCCCACTGCCGGCGACAAACAATTTGTTTAACAAAATGGTTAACGGAAATATTGTCACGTCTAAGATAAACAAAGCGGCCATGGGATATCACGTTTCAAGGTCTGATACGACTCAGATATTAGCGGCAGAAGTAATATATGCATATTATTTACATTTTTAAAACCAAAGACTCGATCTAAAGTCTAGCTGTTTTCATTCAAACAATGAATCTACTTGACTTGGACTTGAGTAGTGAGTTCATTTGAACTTTCAAGATAACTCAGTTGTGTAGGCAACAGTTAGTCAGATTGATTAATACCATAATGTGCACAGTCCGATTGCTGAAAACGTATTGAAAATTAATCGATCAAACAATCTACTGCTTTTTATCTTCATTATTCACACATACCTTATTAGGAACAACACACAGCTGCTCATAATCAATGATCTCATTGTTCTGCAGTAGCCGCTGCAGGAATTGACTTGTGCTGATGGCTTTCTCGCCAGGAGGTCCCGCCTGTTAGCAGTTGACAGGAAAAAATGTAGGCAAGTTTTGATCAAATTATATCGTCCACTTCATGATAAAATGAAATTAAAACTTCAATATAATGTACTAAAATTAGCACAATTTTAATATACATATGTCATGCTGGAATTATATCTTCAACAATACTATTGATACCGGTATACGGTATTCTTGTTTCGGCATACAGGATAATAAATATACATATATAAGCATTTTTACAAATTCAAATAACAGTATTTATGAAATGACACCTAAGGTTGGATAAACATGGGTAAAATACAAATCAAAAATGAATATCAAATTATTAAAATTTAAATTACTCAATATAACATCTCATTAGAATCAGAGGTAATCTATAGATGTTAGTGACCTACAAGAGTCAAAAATCCCATGCTGGGCATTCAAATCCGTGCACATTTTTTAAAAAATATTTATCAACAGTAAAAAGCTCAACCATTGTTATTTGCTTATTAACAATTATAGTCATAGTTAAATCTAAATTCATTAGGGTATAAAGGATTTTTTATTAAATTTGTAAGTCAGGTTACATTGGAAAAACAATATAGTCAATTTCAAAATAAATTTAGCAAAAAATATTAGATTGTGATTTATAGTGAAGCTGCAAATAAAATATATTGAATACAATCAATCATGCCTGGCTTAAAACTGCTTACAAAATAACTATATATATTATGGTAGAAGCTCTAAAAATGTGCACTCCATGAGAACATTATACAAACTTGCCTTAAATGTAGAGGAGCAGCAAGGGTAGAGCTCAACATTAGGAACAACGAAGCCTCGTGTGGGATGTTCAAGGGAGGGTCGGCAAAGCTCGGCTTTCACTCCACACACAATTGTTGTGTTGCCCAGGCGCACCTAGAAATTGCAAGTGGTATTAAGGATAAGTAGGCTTAAACTGTAATCTTGATCGTTGTGTAAGCACATCATGATAGAAAAAGACATCGTTTAGTTTACTATCAAAAACCTTTATGTTTTCAACAATAATTCATGTTTTTTGTCATCTTTGTGCTTATTAATGTAAAATAATGGGTGTAGAGAATTCTGTATTTAACACTACTGCTTGAATAAATATTATTTAGAGCAAGTACAGAAACAATTCTATATCAAAAGAAATATTATAGACACAAGGTATATAGCTTCATATGCATACCTATCCATTTAATTGCTGAGGATACCTAAGGTTTACCAAGTCTCAACTAGGGCAAAAGTATGAAAGTTTGAAACAAAATAAAATAACTCATCGCTAACATATTTTCAGTAGGCATTGCATATCAGACAAAAATAAACAATATACATAATTCATGTATGCAACATCATGTCTTACCGTGGCAGAACCTTCAGCTGTGCCAATGGACCCAACACGCACACTGATGGGACGAGCTGTGTTCCAGTCTCTGCCATCTGGCCTAGATGACTGGTCAACAAAACTTCTGTTGATGTGGATGAAATACAAAAAATATAGTGACTATAATAATTAGAGATTTAATCAATATTAAATAACCATTAATTTATCCCATAATACTGCTGATACAATGTCAGCATCAATTAATTGTTCAGATTTATAGTCAGGTTTCCTAACTTGGAATGTATTGAAGGTTACAAGCATCAAAAATAATATTCTGAAATACCCTTATCACTATAAACTTAAAATATATAAAACAAATATAAAAGGAAGTACTTGAATACTTTAATACAGCACTAATAGCAATCAAGTTTTAAAAGGGTAAAACTGTCTATTATAAATTGTTGATGAAAATTGATTGGTCATAAATTGAATTTTAATAATGTATCTAAGCAATGGATTGAATTTTATTGCACAAAAATTTCTGAAGAAACTTTTCCAGATAATTTTTTGAGTTGATGTTTTTACTCAATTTCAGTTAATTAACAAAATTTCTGATTCCTTTTGTGAGAAATGGATTGGCACCAACCATAATATGCCTCCTTCTAATGAAAAAATATAATATTAGCAGGAAATTCAACTTCTTTTATCCACATAGAAATTTTGCAAAGAATTTCAGTTCCTAAAATGTTCATGTCAAATTATGTTTATAAGACATACTATTGCCTTTCTTGAAGAGTTGCAAGATAGTTGAGTGCAGTAGCAAATTGTGTGCTTTGCACCAGTTTAAAGTCAATGCTGCATGGCTTTGCAATTTTTGCATACGTACATCTCTGCTATTTTGTACAACTCAAAAACAACTAAATGAATTACCAACCTAACTAGTGTTATGTTATATTACTATATCAAAAGTTTGCTAGTTATGTACAGTAGCAACACAGGGAATATTTGTCTAAAATAAAAAGACATGTAAACAAAATAACATTCCTTTATGAATGACAAAATAAATTTAAATTATCTCCGACAGAAACAGAAAATTTTTATTAGTTTTCAAAATTAGCCCTCAAGAATGAAAAATACATAAGGAATATGAAGTTACACACAATAATTTTACATGAATCAGGTTTTTGCTAACAATCCTCAGTACGTAGTCTGGATAACCAACAAATATTAAACCTTAATGTATGCAATCTAGAAGTGCATGCTGCAATGTGCCTTATCAGTAAAATTCCAACAAGGAAAAAAATTGAAATTTTCAGATCATAAAACTTACTTGAAATAGTTGGCTGGTTCTATAACCTCCCATGAATTAAGAGGAGCCATTTTTTTAGTGTTAATTTTTCTTTCTTTTCAAAACCTTTTCTTGTAAAGGTTACCTAGTAAAAATAGTAAAAAAATTTATTGGAAATTTCAATTTGGAAGCAAAGATAGAGTAAAGATAGCATAACTTTTTTCAAGCATGCAAAAAGTAGGTACCTATTGGGTGAAAATTATGATAAAAGTATGTTACACAGTGGTGTAGTGGCAAGAGCCATAAATGAGATGTAGGTACGTATAAATCAAGCAACTGATTACAAAAGCCATGAAGAGATTGTGGACCTGGTTAACTTAAAAGATTATGTTAGCATTCTAGGGGAATGCCAGTGAATAAGTATGATTTGGAGTTCAAGAATTAGTTTGTGTTTGAGAATGGCTGGGAGGATATAAATTTAACAAAGGCTGAGTGAAGTGTGAAATGGAGCAATTAAGGGGGGAGGGGGGGATTACCCTCTGGAAAAACTTTTTTGTTTACAGATGGATCATTCTGAAACTTCACACATATATGTAAAACTGCAAAAGAATCACATTTTGTTCATGTGATTTTTTCGGAAAAATTTATCTCCTTGTAGGGTTTTCAAGCTACAACATAGACGCATATCATTCGATGCATAAAAACCATACCAATCGAGTAACGAAGCCTGATTTTTTATTTTTGCCTTGGTTTTTTTACACACATTTTTCCATTTTTTTCATTTTCCTCATTTTCTTCAGATTTTCCTCTCTTCCCCCTCATTTTGAATCCAAACCATATACAAATCTAAAAAAGGGCTTCGTTACTCAATAGGTATAGTCTTTACAAATTGAATGGTATATGTCTCAACGCTGTAGCTTCAAAACTCTAGGAGGAGATAGGTTTTCCGTGACAATGAGTTAAACTTTTCAGGACAGCGCGACAAAGTCCCGCGCGCCTTGAAATAGTCACTCAATGTAGCATAGATACCAAACTACAGGCTTCTGTAGCTTCCTTCCACTCAAGGATGGTAGCAGCAACTTGCAGTACACCTCTCCGTATGAAGCGAGGAGGGTGACTGAGCCTTGATGCCAGATACAACCATATATCTAGTGTTGGCGAGCAAATTACCTCCCATCTATTTACTGAAGGAACTCCTCTCCTGCCCCCCTTTAAAGAGCAGCCGTGTACATATAAATTCACGTACCGTAAATGGGGTAACTTGGACCCCTTTTCATTTTCTTAACAAAAACCCCCAAAACTCAAATTATTTGACATAGAAAAATTTTGTCAATGGGCATTTAAGGCCTAATACTGAGGCTACATAACACAATAGAAAGATTTAAAAAGTTTGCATATCTAATAGGTTAAAAAATTAAAAATGTGACCCACGAAAAAAAGCTATTATTTAAAGCCTGTCAGAGTACCCCCTCCAATTTTTTTCATTTTTTGGTAAAATAACTCCAGGTTTTGATGCAATGTAGTAGAACTCTTCTAGTTACATATGCATATGACAAATTTTATGAAAGTGTCATAGATTGCAAATGGGGGGCGCCACCCCCAAATGGGGGAACTTAGACCACCTAATGTCAGCCCTGATGCGGTAATATAGACTGGCTTGAAAGTTAATATAAAATTACCATATATAACATATTTTATGTTTGACAACCTATTAATGTTTTTTCTTTATGTTTCAGACTCTACAGAGTCTTATATATGATAATTTCAACTTAATTTCCAAGCCAGTCAATATTACCCCATCAGGGCTGCCATTAGGTAGTCACATTTCCCCCATTATGGGTCGGTGCCCCCCATTTGCAAACTATGACACTTTCCTCAAGTTTGTCATTTGCATATGTAACTAGAAGTGTTCTACTACAATGCACCAAAACCTGGAGTTATTGTGAGTTATTTTACCAAAAAATATAATTGATTTTACCACCCGGTCTAAGATACCCCAAGAGCTGGGGTAACAAAGACCATCACCTTTTTTAAATTACATAAAAACTATGAGAGGCAGGAGCCAGCAATTTATGGTGAGGGAACCTAGAGTATAGACCTGTATTTTGCATGTTTTAATTCAAGTTTAATTTATCTAGTAAAAAAATGGCATCATTTTAAAAAAAAAGTGGTCTAAGCTACCCCATTTTACGGTACAGGGATCGCAGTGGTATCGTTGGAAAGCTCAGAATGTCAGCTTTAAGATGAGACTAAGCACGTAACTGCAGCACAACTCAAGTAGAAACTATATATATAATGCTCAGCAGCTAATTACCTTGTATCTAATTAGTGAAGGAACTCCCCCACCCGCCCCCCTTTAAAGAACCGTCATGTACGTATAAATTCATGTACAGGGATTGCAGTGGTATCATTGGATAGGGCAGAATGTCAGCTTTAAGATGACACTAAATACCAAAAAAGCCAAATCCGAACCATTTAGGGTATACCCCCCCCCCTTAACAAAGCTGCTCTACAACTAGTTCATACATACAATAATCAAATATAAAGCTGATGAGTTAAATAACATGACAGATCTCGATATACTAGTAATAGAGTATTAAAATTTTGAGTCTCAGTGAGAGAGCATCAATCAAAATGCAGGTGGCAAGTATGATACAAAGACTGGAAAAACTTACAGCTGAAACTGTTTGACACAGCATGGTAAGCTACAAATTTTGTAGTTTACAATGCATGAACATCTAGAGATCTGTGTGGACATTGCTGTGAAAGAAAAAGTTCATCATTCATCAAAAGTCCATCAAAATTCCATCAAAATTTATTTCCTACATTTCATAACCAGGCACCCTACTGCTCTATGGTCTTCCCTTGTACTACATAGTGAGACACACTAAGTTTTTATGGAAGGCGTTTCTTTGTGTTTTGTATCATGTACATGATTTTATCCAAGATTTTTGATTAATAAATAAATGGCATTATTTTATTGTTAGTTGCCTATCCAATGCTCGGCAGCGCCCCAGCAAAGGCGGCGGCTCCGGAGGATGAGCAGCTGAAGAGGTGGTTGGTGGTGTGGTCATTATGCCGCACTCGGATAGAGAGGGCTATTGGCAGCACCAATGCGGGCAAGGTATGAGTTGAGCTGCGATGAGTAGCCAGAGCGGAGCTGGGAAAGGGTGCTTCTGGCCGCTCCGGGGAGGAATAGCTTGCTGGATGAGACGGAGGGGGCAGGGGTCAGCAGCACCTTGTTAGGAGCTGCTGAGGCCAGGTAGGAGGAGACAGCGGAGCTGTGCAGGGAGCTGAGGGCAAAAGGGGAAAGAGTCAGGGGGAAGGGAAACCTCCTCCAGCAGATGAGAGACCAAAGGAAGGAAGTGGGTCTGAAGCATGTGCTTCATGGGACTGGGACCCGATGTCTGGGTGACGATAGGGTAGCTGTGATGGTGCGGTCGTAGGACACTGGGAAGGTACTGAGAGCAGAGCAGAGAAGTGTTCAGCCATGGGTAAGACCTCAGCTTTGCTGTGCAGATGGGAAGCAGGGGCCATTTGAAGCAATCTGGTGGCTATGCGGAGGGCTGAGTTCTGAATAGTTTGCATCTTAGAGATTGACAAAGGAGAGGCATTGGGGAACCATACTGGGGCAGTGTAGGTAAGAGCCTTGAAAGTCACCAAGAGGGTTTCCTTCTGTTGGCTCCTGCTGGTTCCGGCAAGAGACTTGAGGATGATGAGGCGTGGGCGGGCTCTCTGACATATTGCAGTGATGTGTGGTGAGAAGGTGAAATGGGGTCAAAAGTGACCCCGATGATCTTTGAGGTCTGACAAAATAAAAGGTTGGACCTCTCCCAGCTGACATGAGGGTCTGTGTGTGATTGATGGGTGTCAGAGGTGAAGAGGGTGGCATGGGATTTGGGAATAGATACCAATAACCCCTTCTGAGTCCGACAAGCCCATGCCACCACATCGGAAGCGTGGGAGGAGAGGACTGCAGACGCATTGGTGATCTGAACGGCCCCCGCAGTGGCAGTGAAATCATCCACATAGGTGATTAAAGGGGTGGGAAAGGGGTGACTGGGAGAAGTCTAAAACATAGGAATTGAAGAGGATATGCAAGATGATGGATCCATGTGTTACTCCAGCATGGACTGGCCATGGAGAGGAGATGCAGCTGTTGTAGGAGCACCTGGCTGACCTGTCTCTGATGCAGCAGATCAGCCAGCGGGTGATATTGGCATGGTAGGGAGTGGTGGCGGTGTGAGAGATGAGCTGAGCATGGGGCATGGTGTCAAAAGCTTTGCTAAAATCTATTGCCATTGGTATTGTCCTGGTTGGTGGGCAAGGCTGGTTGGAACCTATAACTATGGCCTGGGTTAGAGGAAGTAGGGCAGATGTTGTGGAGTGGAGGGAATGGAAACCATGCTGGGAGTCCATCATCATTAAGGGATTGGAGGAGCAGATGCTCCAGCACCTTCACAGACAGGCACAGGAGAGAAATGGGCTGGTATGAGGAGCTGATGGACAGGTGTTTGCCTGGCTTTGGAAGGGCAATGATTGAAGCCGACTTCCAGATGGCAGGGATGTCAGCCTTGGCGAGGGACAGATTGAAAAGTTGGGTGAGGCACTGGATGCCTCTGGGACCCAGATGAGGGAGGTAGAGGATAGTGAGGGAGTCCGGGCCAGTGGCAGTAAAGGTACCCGAGCTCCAGTCCATTGTGCTGGAATAAATCCCAGCATTAGCATTACTATTAGTTTTAATATTTTTTAGTATCCACGTACACGGACAGGCGCGTTCCGGGTGACTTAGAAATTTTGGCGGTTAGAGAAGCGTTGATCCCTGTTGCCAAATAAACAACGATGTAACACATAGACAAAGCAAGATTAGTAAGTGATTTTATTGTGGGTAATTTTGTTCATGTTGTAGAAGTGTACTCATAGCAACTGTCTGCAATACAACTCTGTGAAATCGTTTCTATCAAACATTAATTTGATAGAATTCCCCTGGCCACTGGCCAGTAGCTTAACCTGTCCTATGCAGTATTACTTAGCATATGCGACCTGTATTTTATAAGAATTCTGGTGTTCATGACTCTCAGATAACATGAATATGAGTTCTGATACTTTCTGATGAGTTCTGTCACTTTCTGATAACTGTGCATCATTTTCATGTGTAATTTTGCCTGATTTATCAGTGATATGAGCAGGGATGATCGAGCATTGTTTTCTGTTTCATGATTTTCTATCTCATGATGCACAACCTGAAAACTATGTTCTGTGTCATTGAATCCGGTTAAACTCGTAAATGATCTTGATATTGTCAATTATTAGCACTTTTGCCCCATTTATAATGTGTGTTTGTTTTTTCTGAGACTGATTTTCTAGCTTACTGCAATATCAAAGTGATTGTGCGAATTAATCCAATTGTCTATGATTTATGAATTAATTACTATTTTAAATTCACTTGTGAAGCTGTGTAATGTAACCAGGCAGTTGAACAGAATTTTTCCTTGACAAAATATTTCCTGTTGCAGCTTAGATGGAAATTCTGAATATTCCTAAGC